TATTAACTGACCTAACGGCAGCATGTAGAGATTGAACAGAAGAGGTCCGAGGATCGACCCCTGTGGGACTCCACAGGTCAGGGCCATATGATCTGAGACACAGTTTCCAATCTCCACAAAGTACTTCCTGTCTTCAAGGTAAGACCTAAACCAACTTAGGGCGGTGCCAGCGACGCCAACCCAGTCCTCTAGTCTCTGTAAGAGGATCTCATGGTCGACAGTGTCAAAGGCAGCACTTAGATCTAACAGGATTAGGATTGAGACTTTGCCTGCGTCAGTGTTCAGCCGGATATCATTTGTAACCTTGACGAGAGCAGTCTCAGTGCTGTGGTGGGGTCTAAAGCCGGACTGAAACATATCAAATGAGTTGTTGATTATAAGAAATCTAGTAAGCTGTAGGTAGACAACTTTTTCAAGGACTTTCCCCATAAATGGCAGATTTGAGATGGGACGATAGTTGTTAAGTACCGTAGCATCCAGACTGCTCTTTTTTAGCAGGGGCCTGATGACTGCAGTTTTCAGGGCCTTTGGGAATATTCCAGAATCAAGGGACATGTTTACTATCTGTGTGAGTGAAGGTAACAGACTGCTCAGAACAGACTTTAGAAATATAGTGGGTAGTACATCCGGGCTGCATGTGGAGGAGCTCAAACTGGAGATTATCTCTCGGACAGTTTGAACATTTACAGGTGCAAAGTAAGTTAGCTCAAAGAGCCTTTCTGGCTGTTGGATTGTTATCTGTGGATTGGAGACAATGGCGTTTTTGATGCCTTGAACCTTGTCATTGAAAAAATGTGCAAACTCATTACATTTACGTTTGGAAGTTAGCTCTAATGGCATTTGAACAGGGGGGTTTGTTAATCTATTAACTGTTGAAAACAGAACACGCAGATTGTTGCTGCAGCCTTCAATCATTTCAGAAAAATACCTTTCTCTCGTACTACGTAGCACCTGGTTAAACTCGCACAACTTATCTTTGAAGATCTTGTAATCAACCTGGAGGTTGGACTTGCGCCACTTCCGCTCGGCCCTCCGGCACTCTCTCTTTTGTGCCCTGACCGAGTCTGCTTTAGCCCACGGCGCCTTCTGCTTATTTTTCACTATTTTAACCTTCACAGGAGCGATGGTGTCCAGAACTTTCAAAACACTAGAGGTGACAGAGTTAAACAGTTCATCTACTGTAGAATACGATGCATTCTCAAAGTTTATCATTCCCATAAATAGTTCACCCGTATTTTCATGTATGTGTCTTCTTCGTACAGTTGCAGCGTCCACTGGTGGTTTGTTAGTGAAACACATGTCAAAAAATATACAAAAATGATCCGAAAGCGCAACATCGACCACGTTTACATTATAAATGTTCGCCCCCTTTGTAACTAACAGGTCTAGAGTGTGCCCTTTGCTGTGGGTGGGGCCACTCACATGCTGAGTGAGACCAAAAGATTCAAGAAGAGAACTCAGCTCTTTAGCATTTCTGTCATCAACATTATCCACATGAATATTAAAATCACCTGTAATAACTAAACTATCAAAATCTGTGCATCATACAACTGAAAGCAACTCTGTAAAATTATCAATAAAACTGTGACATGACTGCGGTGGCTTGTATAGGACAACGAAAAGTATTGGAGGAGATTGTTTTTTGTTGTATTTTAAAAGACACATATTCAAAAGACGGAAACTTCCCAAGAGACATTCTATGGGAGACAAAGTGGTCTCTGAAAATGGCAGCTAAGCCTCCTCCTTTTTTGTTTTCCCGTATTTCAGATTCAAATTTGAAATTTGGTGGTGATGCTTCTATTAAAACTGCATTTTCTGTATTTTGGTCAAGCCATGTTTCAGCCATGAACATAAGATCTAGATTATAAGAACAAATAAAATTCCATCCATCCATCCATCTTCTTCCCTTTAATCCATTTCTGGGTCAGGGGGTGGCAATCAGAGATGCCACCCAAGTCTCATAGCACCAGCCCCTCACTGACCCTCTGCAGGTGGTGAGTCCACAGGAGGACGGCTGCTCTCTGAGTGTGAGCATAGCCTTGATCTTTCAGTGGGGGCTTTGGGCAAAGTGGGGTTAAGTGTCTTGCCCAAGGACACAACGACAGCAGTCATCAGTGGGAGTCGGTGGAGAAGGTGCAGAGGTGGGAATTGAACCCACGACCTTCTGGGCTTAAGGCCAATGCTCTACCAACTGAGCTACTGTCGCCCGATTAAAAAAACTTGATTAAAAAAGACTTGTTACAAAGAGATCTGACATTTAGCATAGCAAGTTTAAAAGTTTCAGGATCAGCGGTTGTGGTCGGCTGATTCTTACACGGAACAAGAATTAGATTTTCTTGATTAGACTGATTAACTTCAGATGTTTTTCTGTAATGCATTCTTTGTGTTATCACTAAGGGAATGGCACAGGTGGCTTCATGACAGGGCCCCAGCCGGGTCTCTCCTCTAACTAGACTGCCAGTGGCTGCGAAGCAGAGACCCTTTGCATCTTAGTGTTTAGAGTAGGGGTCTCCAACCTGTAGCTCGGGAGCCACCAGTAGCTCGCCAGCCCCTTACAGGTAGCTCGCCAAAGAAATTAGAATTGAACAAACACACTTCAAACAATACTTTTTGACCCATTACATATCTATTATAAGTATAAATATAGGGTTATACAGTATTATGTGTATTTTATATGTGTTCCCTGAGTTAGGTCGTAATTATTAGATTGACTTTTATTACGACTGCAAAAAGGAGTAGCTCTCTGCCTGTTTGTTTGTATAAAAGTAGCTCTCCGATTGAAAAAGGTTGGAGACCCCTGGTTTAGAGAAAAGAGGGGAAGGGGAAGGCGGGGGAAGATGATGGAGAGGCGGGTGGTTCTTGGGAGTTGGACGGGGAGGGGTTGAAGGTGGATGGGTTTTTGGTGATGGGTTAGGGGAGGGGCAGGCTGAGTTGGGTGGTGGACGAGGGGGGAGTGGAGGTGGAGGGTTTCTTGGTGCTGAGTTAGGGGGGAGGTGGGCTAAATGAGCAGGAGGGGGGGTGGAATACTTATGGGGTTAGAGGAGGGACGGGTGGATTTTGTGGGAGAATTTGAGTTGGACGCCCTAGGTGGCTTTGGAGGTACGTATGGGGAGTAGTTTTGAATCTTAGATAGGACTCTTGATCTGGCTACAGTGGGTGTGAGAGGAATAGTCTTCATCGCCGATCTTATCATGCCTGCAGAGTGTTCCGGTAAATCCAGTAGTGAAGGCGGGGATAGAAAACAAAGGGAAAGGTCGTCCTCATTTTCCCTAGATGGAGTGGATGTAGCGGGGGGGACCCAAGCCGGGTCCATGGAAGGTGATGAGGGAGTCTTTGGTGGAGACAGAGGTGGTTGAGGAACCCCCAGTACAGGCCTGACTGTAGCCTGGAGTAATGGGGGAAGCTTCACGGGAGCTGTAGGTGGGGAAGGTGCTGCTGAAGATGATGGAGCAGCCACTGCTGCTGCTGAAGATGATGGAGCAGCCACTGCTGCGGCTGTATCCACTGCTGCTGGTGGTGCTGTATATGCTGATGGCGCTGATGAAGATGTGGCAGCTGCTGATGATGCTGGGGGTGGAGGCGTTGAGCTCTTTCGGAGCCGTGGAGGTGTTGAGTTCTTTTGGAACCTTGGAGGTGTTGAGTTCTTCTTGAATCGTGAAGGTGTGGAGTTCTTTTGAGGCGGTGGGGGTGCAGAGACCTCGGGAGTCGGTGGAGATGGTCGTGATGTCTGTGCCCTTTGCTTCTTCTTTCTTCCTTTCAACGGCTGCACGCGCTGCGCAGGCTGAGGTCTTAGGGCAGATGCAAAGTTATCCATCAACACTTTTACTCCGTAGTTGTTCAGATGTGGGCCTTTTTCTTCAAAAAGCTCGTGCCTATTCCAGAACAGATTAAAGTTTTCAATGAAGCCAAGTCCTCTGCGTGAACACTCATTGAGTAGGAATGTATTTAGCTGATACAGACGGCTAAACTTCTCCATTTTTCCATCTATATTTGGAAGTGGGCCACTAAGAAAAATGTTTATGTCCATTTTCTTGAGGTCATCCAGTAACAGCGTTAAATCCATTCGTAACTTCTTGCTTGCCTTCTCATAGATATCTACCGCCCCTGTGTGGATCAATAATGTACGCACACCACTGTTCTCAGATAACACTTTAGGCAGGAGAGTTCTTATCTCAGCAACTTTAGCAGAGTGAACTGAGACAGTGAGCATGGACTCCATGTTTACATTTTTCACCAAACCATCTCCGATAAGGACACAGTTTGTCCTTGGTGGAGGCGCTGCAGTTTTTAGCGGCTTTGTTGTTTCAGAAAGGGGTAAAAAGCGGTTTGAAGTCTTCAGAACATTTAGTTGTGGCCTTATTTCACTCCTATTGTCATTCTTAGCTTTGTCAACTTTGGGTTTAGCTCCACAATTGTTCCAATAATTCTCATTGTTGATTTTCCAGTCTGTCCATTCATCCCATTTTCACTCATTGGAAGAGTCGGGTTTAGTCCCATTTCTGTTTCCACAATAGATATCCGTGTTTGAAGAGATTTGAGCTGATTTTCCAGAGCACAACAGCCGCCGCAGACGCTTCTCCGTCTCTTTCGTCCCGACATGACTAAAGTTGATAAATTCCACAAAGCTGAAGTGTGTAGAAGGAGTAATCCTCGTTTTGTAAATAAAATGATTAAAGGAGAAACAAAAAATGTAAATAAAATGATTCAAGGAGATTAAAAGGCGAAGCAAAAGCAGAGCAGAGCAGAGAGACACGACTGCTCTCTCGAGAAGCAGGAAGCAGGTTTGCTTCCTGCTTCTCGAGAGCATACAGTATTCAGAACTTCATGGGCATGAATAAGTCCTATGTGCTGAATTAGTTTCATCAAGGCGAATGTTCTCCTTGAGCATTTGGAGCACTGGTATAGACGAGGCATGGTGGAGTCAATACAGGAGGTTTACTTGCCTGGTGATAGTTATTGGCAGAGGCTTATCACTATCCACAACTATTTTGACGATGTACCTTTGGAGAAACATCAGTGTGTTCTTCAGGTGTCGTGGAAATGCTAGGTTGAACACAAAGTAAGCACAGAAAGCAGAGATGATTCCCTCGTCAATTGCTGAGGTGTGACACAACTCTATGCCGTCCACTTTCACAATGTTTGAAGCTCTCCTGGTGAAGGCCATTTTCCAGTCTCGATCCGTCAGTTGAATAGTTGGGTATGGAGTGGCAGGATCACGCTATTCAAAACCAAAAAGGAAAAAAGACAAGCAAATCAACATGATTTCCTTTCCACTATAAAATGTAATTTTACATTATATGGAATAATAGGCACATTTATTATCTACCTTGCTTAACTTTTATTGAATATTCGGTCTTTCATTACACATTGTATTGCTGAAATTGTTGGTTATGATTAGAATGTGACAATGTGTATAAGATTTTCATTATTGTGCACACATGCACTTGATAAAGAACAAAACTGTACTTATCCTTTGAAAAAAGAGCATTTAAAAATATATATTGTTTTCAAATTGAGTTTATGTTAGTATTGAAGAAGTAATTTACTGGAAAATGCAATACTGGTTGAAGGCTAACAGTTATATGGGACCATCCATACAGTATTCAGAACAGCATCATTATCCCCTTACTTACTGCTTACAGTATTTATGTAGCCATTATAATAATAATGCATCGGTTTTATATAGCGCTTTTTTGGACACTCAAAGACGCTTCACATGTGTCATTATTCATTCACTCCATACACGGTGGTGATAAACTACTAATGTAGCCACAGCTGCCCTGGGGCACACTGACAGAAGCGAGGCAACCAGTATGTGCCATCGGCCCCTCACACCACCACCAACCATTCACACACACACCAGACTCATTCTAGGCAATGGGGGTGAAGTGCCTTGCCTAAGGACACAACGGAAGTTTGGCACTTTACAGCCGCAGCCGCCCCACTGTGGCTGGTGTTCCCAGAGGTTAAGTGTCTTGCCAAGGACACAACGACAGTAGTCAGTGGGAGTCGATGGTGAAAGTCTTGAGCGGGGCTTGAACCCACGACCTTCTGGCTCAAAGGCCAACGCTCTACCAACTGAGCTACTGCCGCCCATTATAGTAGCAAAACAGCTGCACATGTGTATCTCAATCGGTGTGAGCAAAATCACATTTGTAAATGTGTAACAAAATTCATGAATGCGTGATTAAATTTGTTAATTGTACACGAATCTGCAAATGTGTATTTAGAATCTCTGTGTGCGTAATGAAATTTGATAAATGTGTAAAAACAATCCGCAAATCGGTAGTCAGATTTTCAAGTGTACACAATCTATAAATGTGTACCCAGATCTGTAAACCTATAAAACATCTACAAATATGTACCCAGATCTTTATGTGCCTATGTCTTCAGTTACAATTGAGGCGGGTGTCTCAATTGGTCTTTTCAAACATGATTTTTGCCACAGATCTGCAAGAGCGTGAGGATTTTTCTGTAATGCGTCTATGTAATTATGTCTATGGGTTGTATTGCTTTTGAGGCAGACCATACAACACAAGCCTGTGAGTCTACTCAGGGCAAAATATTCTGAATATAAATTAATTAATAAATCACAGAAGCTTGAGCCTGTCAAGCTGTGCTCGGGGCCAAGAAAAAGTTTGGTTAAAGACACAAATCTTTGCACGTTTTTGCACATCTGTCAGAAGTATCTGGGTATGTACTGTACTTGCTGATGTTTTCACAGGTTTACAGATTGACCTACACATTTACAAATGTTTGTATACATTTTCCGATCCGTGTATGCATTTACAGATGGCAATACACTTGCAAAACTGAATACAGATTTGTTGATATTCTTACACATTATCAAATTTGATTACACAGATTCTAAAACACATTTGCAGATTCTTGCACAGATTCACAAATTGTGTTATGAATTTACAAAGCTGATTACACAAACAGTTCGAGATGCGCATTTGCAACAATTTTTGTAAATCTGATTACGCACACAAAGATTGAGATATGCATTTGCTCTTTTGCTACTATAATGGCTCCATACATGAAATGAAATATTTGAAGTGAATAAAGCAGCCCTTTAATTTGAGATGTTTTGTTTAAAAATGGTATGCAGGATAGACATACCTCTCCAAGAGTAATAAAGCAATCAATGTTCTCCTTGAAGATGTGTGGCAGAAAGGTGAGGGCAGCTCTGAAGTCAATATCTGCAAGACATAAGATATACTCCATAAAATAATAATAACAATTTATTCTATTTAACATTTTTCCTGGAAATGTATCTTCCAAATTCTGCAACTTCATAGTCAATATAATGCAAACATGATGTTAAAACTGTTATTCATCAAGATAGCAAACAAGTTGAGTATCCATCCAATAATGTTAAAGAACACAGTGAATTATATTTGTACACAAGTTTAATTCTATTTATTTTGATTATTTAATCAGTACCTGGTAGATCCTCTGTGAGAGCCTCTTCTCTTGCTTCCAGGTAGAGTTTAGACAGCGGGGATTTCCCTCGAGCCAGATTGAGAACCTTTGACACAATACAGCTGAAGCCTTCATTGAATCGCTGACACACGTTTCCTATTGCTGGGTGGATCCATTCCAACTCATTGTACAACTACAGGTGAAAGATTTGAGATTCATTCAGTATCCGAGTCCAAGCTACATGTAACTTTTCATGCTTAAAAACATTTAAATTAACTGTCATTACTGAATTACTTTATATGGATAAGAATCCCAGCTATCACTTAATGATGCATTTTCACTTACCGCAGCCGGTGTCCTTAAGAAAGGGTACTTCTTGACGGTTTCCTCCACAGTCATGCCATCTGCTATCTCCTTTTGCCGCCATGCAAAGGTTTGCTGCATACGGTCTTGTACAATCATGAGGTCTGGATGCATCTTCTGGTACTGGCTATGTAACATCTTCACATGAGCATCAATGGAGGATGGATCCTCACCAAGAACACTTGATGCCTAAAGAGAATTCAAATACAGATGCGACTCAAAACAGGAGCCATAATATCCATATTACATTAACCATCCTGTTAACTCTGTCCTTGCCTTAATGTCTGAGCCACAACCTAAGTGGCTCACAAATACAACTGAGCTAAACAGAATGTGGTACAAGGTTGGATACAGTTGCTGTCTTTTTCATCAAGGTATGCACTACTGACCTCGGACAGATTTCTCAGATTGGTTCTTGCAGTTTCTACAGATTGCACTGATGTCTTGCGGCAAAACTTCTCCTTACTTAACCTCACTTCATCGTTGTAAACCAGGGGGGCACGCTCTGATTTGAACTTACGCCTCAAAGACATATGCCATGTATGCTAGTTGAGACAGACACATCAATGATCAGCATCTTGACAGTGACATACTGATAATGTTACCCCTGTCTGGATAGTATACAATGCTACAGAAGATATTATATTGGACAATTGTAACATCTGATGTTTAAAATACTGTGCACATTTATTTTCACATACACTTACATAACCATTTCCCTCGAGATCCTTCAGGAAAGGATATCTCACAATTAGTGTCTTTACAGCTTGCACATATTCCAAATTTGTGGGATACCTTGGACAAGAAAAGACGTTACTTAATTGACCTGTTAATTAACCTATAGACTGACATGCATAACCAGCAAAAACTATCCTCAGCATCTAACTGCTCAACAGTTAACTATTGACATCATTAATTCAAATATTGCAAATCATTATGTTCCTTTACTAAGTCTAAAATTACTTTAAACCCACTTACATTGTGTATTGTGCCATCGCTTCATAGAGAACCCTGATTATTATGTGTCTGTCCTTCGGGTTTCTCTGACATGGTTCCTTGTTGTCAAGTTTTGTTTGTAGGTGCCTGGGGAATGCTGGGATGTCAAATGTAGTGGGCAGTCTTCCACTAGGTCCACTGCTATAATATAGAAGATTTTTTATTTTTTTATTTAATGAGCAAATTAACTTTTAAAACAAACTAAACAATTCACATTGCTATTGCTATACCAGATAGAAGGTCTCCTGTCAATAAGTAATGACTAGAACAAAATTTGTGGTAATGGTACTCTTGCCTCATACACATGCACTTACCATAATGTGGCTGAGCAAGTAGGTTGCTGACATTCTTCTGGAGGCACAGGCTCTAAAGTTAGTGTTACCACTGGCTCTTTTAACTTGCTCACAAACTGACTAAATTTGACCTGCTTCTTAAAAGATCCATGAAACAAGCAGGCAATCATATTCTTTGTGAGGCCACAATCAACTGTTTCACCATCCACATCATTATCTGTAAAGAGTAAACAGAGGGAGATTAAATAGCGACACTTGACGAGAAAGTAGGCAAGACCAACTCAGCTAACTTAACTAAAAAGATATTAGCTTTATGTCCACTGCCCTACAGATACCATAGACATAAAGTACATTACCACTACGATTACCCCTTTAAGTTAATTATGTATTACTGATGTGAGCAAGGGAAGTGACGAGTCAGGGGACATTCAGCTGTTCTAAGAGGACACAAAAATAAAAATCAATTGGATGAAAAAGCAAATTGTGGTCACCTAGACTGCGATTAATGCTAAGCAATTGTTGCAGGTATCGGCCGGTACAATATCTGCTGACAGTTTATTATTTTATTTTTTTTTATTTGGGGAAGGATTGGGATTGAAACTGAAATTAAAAGAAAAGAGACAGTCACACTCAACTTCGCTCCAGGCTCTCTGCTTGCCGACTGACGCGAAGCAGGAGCGGGCGCCTTAAAACTGTCTCCTTACCAGCACTGCCCTCTAGTGGTTGTCAAGGTATCTGTAATGTAAAAGGTGCATTACGTAGTCAATACATTATATATAGAAAGTAACGCGAGAGTTCGTGTGTTAGACAGACGAGATCTGAAACATGTAAGCAGCATGATATATGCGAGTTGTTAATAAAGCAGACAAGTTGAATTCAGTAAGCTGTGTCGGCCAACAGTTTATTTGACATGGTGTCAGAAGTGCTCTAGGAGAGAACACACGCACAGAAATGGCAAAGTTCAAGCCACCGGAAAACTTCAACTTTGAGAAACCGGGAGAATGGCCGTCGTGGAGACAGAGATTCGCACGATTCAGGTCAGCTTCCAAGCTAAGCCTCGAGGATGCCGACGTCCAGGTTAGCACGTTAATTTACGCAATGGGCAACGAAGCCGAAAATATTTTCAAGACTTTTACCTTCACGGAGGAAGAAGACGAAAATGATTATGAGACTGTCTTGGAAAAGTTTGATGAGTATTTCATACCCAAACGAAACACAATACATGAAAGGGCATGCTTTTACCAAAGGCAACAGAAACCAGGGGAAATGGCGGAGACATTTATCCGAGCCCTGCACCAACTGAGTGAGAACTGTGAGTTTGGCGATAAGAAAAATGAACACATAAGAGACAAATTGGTCGTTGGGATAAGGGATAAAGACCTGTCCAGAAAATTGCAATTAACTTCTGATTTAACCCTCGAAAAGGCAGTGCTTATGGTGAGGCAAGCTGAAGAGGTAGCACAACAGATAACCCAGCAAGAGCAGCAGGCTCCACTGGCGGTGCAAGCAGTGAAACAAAAGAGGTTCGTGAAGAAAGAAGGGAAACCGCAGGGAGAGAGGAGCGGAGGACAGCAGCACGGCTACCAAGGGGAGAGCAAGTGCAATCGGTGCGGTAAAGAAAAGCACCAAAATGCAGCCAAATGCCCAGCAACGGATTCCGAATGCAGGAAGTGCGGGAAGAAGGGGCATTGGGAAAGAAAATGCTTCACAAAGACTGTGAGGGAAGTTAACCAAGGAAATGATTAGGACGAAAGCTTCTATCTTGGTGCAGTGATTAAACAAAAACAAAGCAGTGCAGAGCAATGGACTGAGCAAATTCACATAGGGTATACACCAGTGAAATTTAGAATTGATACAGGTGCTGACGTCACTGTAATGAACATGGAAACATTCAAGGCACTCAAACCAGAAAGAAAGCTGGAGCCACATCATGGCCCATTAGAGAGTCCAGGAGGAACATTGGACATTATGGGACAATTTACAGCTAGCACATTACATAAACAGAGAAAGCACATATTCAATATATATGTAGCTAGAGGGCCTACAGTTAATAACTTACTGGGCAGAGATACAGCAGTGGAGATGGGGCTGGTTAAGCGAGTACAGCAGGTGAAGGCAGCAGCCGTCCACCAGGGCACGATGAAGACCGACCCGGTGAAGATACACCTACGTGACGACGCCGTGCCACACGCCGTACACACAGCCAGGAGAGTCCCACTGCCACTCCTTTCGAAAGTCCAAGCTGAGCTACAGCGCATGGAGGAACATGGCGTGATTGTCAAAGTGACACAACCGACAGAATGGTGCGCGCCAATGGTGCCAGTCCTGAAGCCGTCAGAATCTGTGTAGGGCTCCAGAAGCTGAATGAGAACCTGAAGAGAGAAACCTACCAGCTACCTACCACAGATGAGACGCTGGCTAAGCTGGCGGGCTCCACCGTGTTCACATCCCTCGACGCTGCCTCAGGCTTTTGGCAGATACCGCTTCACGAAGAAAGCAGAATTCTAACCACATTCATCACACCTTTCGGGAGGTACTGTTTTACCCGCCTTCCGTTTGGGATTAATATAGCCCCAGAGATATTCCAGCGCAAAATGCATGAGCTGCTAGATGGCCTGGAAGGAGTCGCAGGGTATATGGATGACGTGATTGTGCATGGAAAGGACAAGGCCACACATGACAGACACTTGCAAAGCACACTCGAACGTATGAAGCAAGTAGGCCTTAAGCTGAATGAAGAAAAATGTGTTTATGCACAACCACAGCTACGCTTCCTGGGCCACATCGTGGACGCCAACGGGGTTCGAGTGGACCCAGAAAAGGTGAGCGCCGTCAGAGAGTTGGATGCGCCCACCAATGTACATGAACTGAAGCGTGCATTAGGCATGATAAATTACATGAGCAAATACATACCAGACATGGCAAATGTCGCAGGCCCACTGTACGATCTCCTAAAGGGGAAGATGGCCTGGACCTGGGACCAGCCACAGCAGCGAGCGTTTCAGCGCTTGAAAGAAGCCCTCGTCACCTCGCCTGTACTGGCCCACTATGATCCACAGAGACCGACCGCAGTGTCAGCGGATGCGAGTAGCTACGGGATGGGAGGAGTCCTGCTCCAGCTGCACGGAGAGAGCTGGAAGCCTGTAGCGTACTGCTCCAGAAGATTAACGGACGCGGAAACCAGGTACGCTCAAATCGAGAAGGAATGTTTGGCAGGAGTATGGGCCTGTGAGCGGTTCCAGAAGTACCTGGTTGGCATGGACAAATTTAGACTCATAACAGATCACAAGCCGCTGGTGCCGCTGATAAACAGCAAAGACCTAGACGCGGTGCCTGTTAGGTGTCAGAGACTTTTGATGAGGCTTATGCGCTTCAATGCAAAGGCCGAGTACGCACCGGGCAAAACGTTGGTCATATCCGACGCACTGTCACGCAGCCCGCTGAAGGAGAGCTACAGCACTACGGAAGCAGTCATTGCGAGCCACGTGAACGCAGTGACACACAGCTGGCCTGTCTCACAAAGCAAGCTGGACCGGATCAGGACAGCCACGCAGGAGGACCCACAGCTCCAGCACGTGAGAAAGCTGATCAGGGATGGATGGCCCAAACGAGTGAGTAGCACTTTACACAGTGTTAGAGACTTCTACGACATGAGAGACTCACTGTCTGAATGTGAGGGCCTGATCACGCTGGGCTGTCGCATTGTAATCCCACAGGCCTTGAGACAGGAGGTGGTAGACCGCCTACACGAGGGACATCAGAGCCTGTCCAAGTGTAGAGAACGTGCTCAAGAGACTGTGTGGTGGCCCAAGATGTCAGGGGACATTAAAAGAAAAATTGACAAGTGCAACTTTTGTCTGACAAACAGACGCACTCAGCGCAGAGAGCAGTTACTGTCAACACCCCTGCCTGAGAGACCTTGGCAAAAGATAGCCACAGACATTTGTGAATACAAAGGAAAACAATAATTAGTAATATCAGATTATTACTCACGGTATCTGGAGATACTACACTTATCAACCACAACTACAGAACAGGTAGTGAGGTCCATGAAAGCAACATTCGCCAGGTTCGGAATCCCTGAGCTTTTAGTCAGTGATAACGGGCCCCAGTATACCAGTGATGCTTGGAAAGAGTTTTGCAGGCTGTATGACATTAAACATTCCACATCCAGCCCGCACAACCCACAAGGGAACGGGCATGCAGAGCGCGCTGTGCAAACTGCAAAGCGCATACTCAAGCAGGACGACCCACTATTGGCTTTAATGAGCTACCGCGCCACCCCCACCACATCCACAGGAGTGAGCCCGGCAGAAATGCTCATGGGGCGTAAGATTCGCACCACACTGCCATCTCTAAAGAAAAACCTCATTCCAAAGCAGCCAAACCGTGACCTCATCCGTCGCCGTGATGAAGAAGCCAAACAACAACAGGCATTCTACTACAACCGGAGACACGGAGCGAGGGACTTGCCACCCTTGCACACAGGTGACCACGTCCTGTCCAAGCTGGACGGGGAGAAGGTGTGGAAAGGTCGAGCATCGGTGCAGCAGGAGTGCGGCACGCCGCGCTCATACCAGGTGAAGTCGCCAGGAGGAGGAGAGATGGGGAGAAACAGGCGTCATCTTCAACAAGTGCCGCCACCGATGGAAGAGGAGAACACAGACTCTGGGCAACCTGCCACAGAGCCAGAGCAAGAAGCACCACAACACGGCTCTGACCAGGGACTGTGTGAGAGTAATGTTAAGAGTCCTACAGTAATACCAGAAGGACTGACAGTGACCAGGTTTGGTAGAGTTAGTAGACCTGTGAAAAGAATGGACATGTAGTTAAGCAACTCAGAGAACAGTGAATTTAAGTTTTATTAAGGATTTAAGTTAAGTTTGAGTTATTATTTACATTTAGAAGTAATCTGAGAAGTACAGTATTTTAAGGTTAATGGGTAAAGACAAGAAAGAAAAGCAGTAACTTTTAAGTTTTTTAAACTAACAGGTAATAAGGTTTACTAATTATAAGCTTAATGTTGTGACCCCATGTTATATAAGTATAATAATTTGAGGGGGAGATGTCAAGGTATCTGTAATGTAAAAGGTGCATTACGTAGTCAATACATTATATATAGGAAGTAACGCGAGAGTTCGTGTGTTAGACAGACGAGATCTGAAACATGTAAGCAGCATGATATATGCGAGTTGTTAATAAAGCAGACAAGTCGAATTCAGTAAGCTGTGTCGGCCAACAGTTTATTTGACAGTGGTAGGCGTCAATACTATCTATTTTAAATGTATTTAATTATACGGAATAATGTGACCACACATAGTGGGCGTCACACGCTCCCTGACAAAAGAAAAGATGGCTCCCGACATGAACAAAAATATTACATTTCCTCAGTAAATATTTCTACAACACCAACCCATTTTCAATTCAATTTGGAGAGACGTGAACAAGAAGTTTTTGAGTATTTTATACATAGTTCCCACATGACGTCACTACATACGGGGATTTGCCGACCCGGCGCCATTTGTGTTGGCATTCTGTGGGCAAAACAATAGAAAAAGAAGCTGAAACGTGTTAATGTCGTGATAAAGTTGAAAATGGTCATCTCCTGCTGGGTCAATGGATGTTCAAATCGTGCCGGAGGTTCCGTTAAACTTGGATTTTACAGTATACCCATCATTAGACTTCATGAATGTGAGAAGACTAAGCTTTTGTCAGAACTACGACGGAGGTTATGGCTTGCGAAGATAAACAGGCAAGAAACTCCCTCAAAACACGCAAGAATATGCTCGGAGCACTTTGTGTCAGGTGCGTATCGTATCTCATAATGTGTTGACAGACGTAATTTACTCAGTACTAACTTGTGTATGCTGATATCTGGTAACTTGAGAGTTTCATTATTTAGCGTTAGATTACTTTATTATGAGGAGGATCGGTGTCGCGTCCGAGGCTCTCGAGGGCAACGTAAATGTATTAAATAGATAATAATAGTTCTATGGTGGGCTAAAACAATGTTCACAAACAGCATTGCTTCTGTAAAAAGATCTGTGTCATAAAATAAACTGCTCTTTACGCCTGGAAAAATCAGTTGCCCATCATTCACCAAAACATACGGTCAAAAACGCGGAAATAAACAATAAACAGCAATCCAGAGTGTCCGTGTGGCATTAGCATTAATTAAATTAATTGTTAATATAATTAAAATAATTAAATGGAGCTCCAACTGGTATTAAATCTAAAGTTTTTGAGAAATGTTTGCATTGCTTGTTAATTTTTGCTGCATAATTTGATCAAATATGTAAAACATGTCCGTAGCACGTTAAACTGTGGTGCCATTGTATTAATATACAATTATTTGCTCAAAAGTTGCCCTTTTTTTCCAATTTGCGTTTGAATATCTACATTTATTCTCATTCTTCTGTTTAATGGAATGCACAAACACAGCAGCGTGCCATCAAAGATGGCGTCTCCGAGGAGGTCATGTGACATTCATTGGTCTGTGGGAACTATGTATTGGGAGGAGGTTTGGCGCCCTAGGCCCCGGTGCGGCCTTCAGATCGGAGGGGCTCTGCGATGGAGCGTGCCAATCCCCCGGGACCTAGGCACTGGTGGCGGCATTTGGCAGCGGGAAGCAGATTGAAGGCGGATTGAAGGCAGGGTGAAGAGGAGGAGGAGGGGAGGCGGTGGTTGCAGGCTTCGAGAAGGCCGAGAGTGGGAGTTTCTCCGCTTTTAAGCGGCTTGCCTGGCCGGTACGGTGATTGGAAGGGGGCGTTTGCAGCGCGATAGGCTGGGGATGAGAACCGGCCTGGAGGGGTTACCTTTGGCTGACGTCTACCAAATTGAATTTCCGCTGGCTGCATTTCAATTTGGAGAGACGTGAACAAGAAGTTTTTGAGTATTTTATTGGGAGGAGGTTTGGCGCCCTAGGCCCCGGTGCGGCCTTCAGATCGGAGGGGCTCTGCGATGGAGCGTGCCAATCCCCAAAAAAGGTTGTGAGTTGATGGAGTTTTGCAGCCTGGTTTGGAGGGGACAGACGTCGAGACTACTATATGCTGTGACCGCTATCGCTATATGCTGAGACCGCTATCGCTATATACTGTGACCGCTATCGCTATATACTGTGACCGCTATCGCTATATACTGTGACCGCTATCGCTATATACTGTGACCGCTATCGCTATATACTGCGACCGCTATCGCTATATACTGTGACCGCTATCGCTATATACTGTGACCGCTATCGCTATATGCTGATGACCATCGTGCGCTAACCATTTTTTGCTATATACTGTGACCGCTAACCATTTTTTGCTATATACTGTGACCGCTATCGCTATATACTGTGACCGCTATCGCTATATACTGTGACCGCTATCGCTATATACTGTGACCGCTATCACTATATACTGTGACCGCTATCTACTGTGACCAAACTTGCGGATACTCAGCTGCTGCCGCCACCAGAAAGTTTAGCGAGCGTTTTAAGGAGATGCCAATAGCCGCTGGGCTGCCAGGATGGTAGGAGTGTCAGGCCTGATGTATGAGGAGAGGGCCGATGATGACCAGCGGCCCAGCTGCTGGAGGGCGGAATGGGGGAGCCCCAGGGACGCGGCGCGCGTGGCGGCGCCTATCCGGAAGGAGTGGGCTGTGTAGAGATGGGGAGACAGTTTACAAAGCAGCAGTACGGACTTGAGTTGGGCTCTGAACCAGTTGGGGGACATAGGGAGGTTATCAGGGGTAAGAAATAACGGTCCGTTGAGATCTCCTTTCCGAGAGCGGAGGCGAGTGTAATGCATCATGGATCTGTAGGGACAGGGAGAAGTGTCAGACCGAGCTATAACTATATTGCAAGCGCCTTTGCGTTTGGAATGCTTGAGGTGGAGGTTGAAGTAGTCGGGATAATATGACAGGTCAGAGAAGCAATGTCTCGGGATGCATTAAAGGTGGCGTGAGAGTTTGTGAATTCGCTTATGCGTAAGAAGCCCATTTTCATGTAGGATGCAGCGGAGGAGAGAAGGTGAAGAGACGGAGGGACTAGGCCGGGGCGAGGGATTCCGTGCAGGGGATCTGGCATGGCGATGGATTGGCAGAAGGGCAGAGGCGTCAGAACTCCTGGAATTTAAAGCGAGAGAGAGAGTCAGCAATACGGTTAGGTGACGAGGGACGTGACGAACAGTGATGATAAATTGTTCGAGACTGAGAGCCATGTGATGCATCTAAGAGGATGTGATTTGGGGAGAGGATGAACGACTTCTGTTAATTATTTCAATGGCGTCGAGGTTGTCGCACGTCACGGAAATCCTTTTCCTATGCCGCGTATGGTTCCGCAGCACGCAGGCTCCGGTCACGGGATATATCTCGTGGAGCGCGGAGTAGATGCTGCGAGGGAAAGCCACTGGTCCTGGAAAACCCCCAAAACCCACGGACGGGGCTGCGTCCGTGAAGAACCGCGGGGCATCTGAGACAGGATGATGTCACTGTAAAAAAAAGAGATACACCATCCCAGCGGCTCTGCAACAGGACCGGAACGCCTGGTCGGAGCAGCGCCCCGCGTCCGGGTAGACGCGTCATCGAGGGAGGAGACGGAGCCGGCGAGGGAAGGAGTCTGGAATTAAAAGGACGACCTTGGGGAATGATACAGACGGCATAATGAAGATGCCCGAGGAGGGAGAGCAAGGACGCCTCGAAGTGACGGGAAGGCCGGGGCAGACCGGGAGAAAGCGCGGATGCGTTCGAGCTTGTCCAGCGGGAGGGAGGCCTCCATGGCGCGTGTGTCGAGGCGGATGCCGAGAAACTCCAGAGCGTTGGCGGGGCCTGTGGGCTTTCCGGAGTGGAGGAATCCGAGGGCAGAGAAGGCGGGCCTGAGCTTGCGGAGAGAGCCCCTGGAGCAGTCTGAGGGTGGGTCGACTATGAGGGAATCATCGGGGAGATGCAGACAGAGGGGAGCCGCGCGAAATTAAGCAGAATCCGACACGGCGCCTCCGAGAGATTGTTGAACGAGAGGGACTACTCCGGCAGTCAAAGGTGAGGCGCACTGCGAAGAAGAACTCCGACGCCACTTGACCCCTGAACAGCGCCAGTGGTCGGGGTGGATGGCAGCAGCTTGAACGCGACCGGGATGACGGCCTTGGAGAGCCAGGAGCCGGGGCCGAAAGTCTTTATCAGCCTGATCGCGTGGTCCACGGTAGCGGACTGCAGGGAGAAGGGCGCTGGAGGGAAGGGGCTGTTGATGCTCGGGCGGGCCCGGAGCGGGGACAGGAGAGGACGAGTATGAGACGCTTCTTCCTGGAGTGCTTGCGGGTGGCGATGCCCATCGGGTTAGAGCGAGACGGAGAGAAGGGGCCAATGACGTAGCCCACGGACACCTCCGAGAGTGGGAGTTTCTCCGCTTTTAAGCGGCTTGCCTGGCCGGTACGGTGATTGGAAGGGGGCGTTTGCAGTGCGATAGGCTGGGGATGAGAACCGGCCTGGAGGGGTTACCTTTGGCTGACGTCTACCAAATTGAATTTCCGCTGGCTGCATTTGTCTTTAAAGTCTCAAAAGTTTATGCAAAACACACCCCGGGTGTCTGGTAATTATAAGGTAAGTATGAAACTGGTGGTGGGTAAGTACCAAAGGAGTATGGCCTTTACATAGGTGGCATGTAAGTCATAACTGGGTAGTTCTGAGGAACAGGAAAATATGGTACGTTTCCATCAACTAAATTAACTGTTCCCTGCGTATACAAGGAAGGCTGACCTAGTGTCTCATACGTGAACAAATGACGTGGCCTTCTATCTCGTGCAGACCTCCTAACCTCGGTGTGGTCTATCGGGTGAGTAGACAGTCTCTGTACTGGGTCAGATGCTGCGTTGTCCCCGGGTCCTTCTCCCTCAGGCATGGCAAAGGCACTTTCATCCTCCAACACCTCCTCACACATGAGAGGTGCAGTAGATGAATCCTCGGTCTCTTCTCCATCAGATGGGTGTGGGAGCACAGCTGGTGTGTCCTCAACAGGTGTTCTCTCAGGTAAGTGTCTAGTTTGTCTGTTTGGCGATTCTCTTGCACGTCCTAACGCTGTACTTGGCTGGCACGAGGTTTGCTCTTCAATGTTTTGTCTTTGTACAGACCTTTCAGCCGGTATTCTCAACCAGTATCCAACACAACTTTCTTCATCCGAGTCACTTTCTGAGTTATCACTGGTTTTGGTCTGTTCTTGTGCTTGTACAACTCCCCTTTTTGTTCTGCTTGCTCTTGGATTGTCACTTTTAGGTCGTTCAGAGTGTATACTGATTTCAACAGGTAAGTCATTTACTAACAACAGGAGATTACGATGTAGCGTGCGTGTCTTTTTCCTTTCTCCATTCTCAGGATGAACAACATATATTGGATTTTGGCCAAGCTGCTCTTTGACTAAATAAATAGTCTTTTCCCAGTAGGATCTCAGCTTGCCGGGCCCTCCACGTTGACTGAGATTACGGACTAAAACTCTGTCTCCTGGCTGTAGTACCACACCTTTTATTTTCTTGTCATATGTCACTTTTCCTCTTGCACTAGATTTTTTACTGTTCTCACTAGCAATGCGGTATGCCTCTGACATGCGCTCGGCCCATTTTTCTGCATACCCCTTAGGTGAGTATGTTTCTCCTGCCTCAGCTAAACCAAACAACAGATCTACAGGCAGGCAGGGATTACGGCCATAGAGCAGAAAAAAAGGCGAGTATCCAGTTGCCTCGTGTACAATTGTACGCATGTACAATGTGTGAGAGATGGTCTTTCCACCGCAGCTTCTCAGTGTCTGTCAGTGTACGTAACATTTGGAGAATGGTTCGATTTAGACGCTCTGCTGGATTACTTTGTGGATGGTATGGGGACGTGCGTGAATGGCCCACACCAGAAAAGTTTTGCAGTGTCTTAAACAGTTCATTTTCGAATTCACGCCCCTGATCATGGTGCAGTTTTTGGGGATACCCAAACCGGGGAATAAAGTCTTGGAAAATGCGTTCGGCTGCTGTGCGTCCACTTTTGTTCTTTGTGGGTTAGGCCTGAGCATACCTTGTAAAGTGGTCAATAATCACTAGTATGTACTCGTACCCTCCACGACTGGTCTCTAGGTGTAAATAGTCAATACACACGAGCTCTAGGGGGGAACTTGTACTTATACTACCCATAGGAGCTCGGACGTGTGTCACAGGCTTCTTTGACATGATGCAAGGGCATTTCTGAGTGACATATGACTCAATTTCTTTTGCCATAAAGGGCCAATAGAATCTTTCTCTGGCAAGATGAAGCACTCTTTCAGTAGCAACATGTCCCATCTCATTGTGAAGCTGTTGTAAGGCAAGACTTCTGTATTTTGCAGGAAGTACAAGCTGTTTTCTCTCTTTGGTTCTTTGGTATAGGAGTTCGTTTTCCAAGTACAACTAAGTCCATTCATGTAACAGTTTTTGTGCTGCCCCACTCACTGTTTTACGTACCTCCTCTGTCAGTTTTGTTTGTTTTTCTTTCAGTCTGATAACTTGACTGATGGCTGGATCTACCCGCTGAGCTTTGACCAGGTCACTGTGACTGATGCTCCTCAATTTGGCAGGAAGAGGCTGGTGGGAGTCCGGGGCAGTAGTGTTGAGAGCGGCGACCCAAGCAACGTCTTTCTGCTGGGCGGCGTGGCTCCCATTCCATGCAGCTCGAACAGCCTCATCTGAAAAACTCTCAGTACACTCACAAACAAACTTCTCAATGTCTAGTGGTAAACGCGAGAGTGTGTCTGCGTCAATGTTCACTTTACCGGGTCTGTATCTTATGTCAAATCTGAAGTCCGAAAGTTCCCCCACCCATCTGTGTCCGACTGCATTAAGTTTCGCTGTGCTCATAACATAAGTCAGAGGGTTGTTGTCGGTATAAATGGTGAAATGGGGTGCATAATATAAATAGTCTCTGAATTTTTCACACACGGCCCATTTCAAGGCGAGAAACTCTAACTTTCCACTATGTAAATAGTACTTACGTTCAGCTTGTGTCAAAGTCCGTGACCCATAACCTATTACACGCAATATGCCATTCTGACGCTGGTAAAGGACCGCTCCTAAACCCTTGTCAGAAGCGTCTGTGTGAAGAGTGAAAGGCAAATTAAAGTCTGGGTAGGCTAGTACGGGGGGGTTAGTGAGGAGAGAACACTTCGAGGGCTTCCTGATGTACAAGTGTCCATGTGACAGGCTCTTTCGAATGTAACTGTGGTCGCTTGCTACTTTTTTTACAAGTGGTACTCTGGACTGTGCCTGTCGGTGTCTGAAGCAGTTCGTAGATCGGCCTGGCTATCTGTTAGGATTTAGCAGACAGAGACGGATCGTGGTGTGCCAAACTCTGGAAGTTTATTTAAGTTTCTCTCAAGTTCCACTGGTTTACTCTGTTTCTTTCTCTCAGACAGAATAAAGGCAGTACACAGTTTATATAGTCATTGTCACGTCACACATCGAAAGACATACGTGTCACAAAGAGACAGTCACATCATAGTCATAACATGGAGTCCTTGTACAGTCCTGCACGTAGGCCATATTGCTATCTAATACTAACACCCTCCCCTTTGATCACATAATCACATGTGATCACTCAATTTGATCAATCAATAAAGTGGAAAAAGAAAAAAAAAATTCTAAAAAAAACTTTAAAAAATTATTAAAAACAAAGAAAATGTATGCATTGAACTCATAATCATCAAATCAATATCAGTGGATTTTATCCTCTATCCTGGGAAAAAATAAACAAACAAAAACAAATCAAAAATAAAAACAAACAAAAATAAAAACAAACAAAAACTATTGGACACACAAGAACTCAGCAGATTCAGTCAAAACACAGACAAAAACGAGCTGAGTCTCAAATTAGAAGCTAATTTCACTTTTATTACTCTATACTTTTATTCTAATGCTGATTGTTTACACTTCACTTCACTGTATTGTTTTCACTTTTCAATCTTAGACTGTGTACTTTACTTTCATGATTCACTATAGTTTAAAACTATTCTAATCTATTTACAAATATGTTTGCATATTTGCTTCTATTGAGCCATATTCTTAAACTAATTTTATTCTAATACATCTCTCTGTGGTATTATACTCTCATTATCAGTTTGGGATGAATGTACATCTTTAATCAAATTGGTATAATCCTTACAAGAGCTAATCTATTTTAGCAGGTTTGGGGTTGGGGTCAATGTTCTACAATGGTGTTTGTGCTGGAAACTTCTCAATATCTAAATATCTACTATTGTGTTTTTGTGCTATACACAAATACATCAAAATGCTTTTAAATGCTTTTGAATCTCTGTTGGTTGTAATCTATCTCATTGATCTAGGCATTAATCTAGGCTACACTCATATGAACTTTTTGCATTGTCAACAACATGTTTGAACACAAGTGAATTTGGAAGGTATCTAATAAAACTGTACATAAAACTGTAAGTAACTTTATCTACTTTTGAAGTAAATGCTTGTGGAATGGTCCCTTTACCATTTGATATTAGCACTGGCTGGAAATATTCTCTATTTTTGAAAGCATCTATGGTTGATGCATTTATCTAATTCTATTTCTACTCTATTGTGACTCCAAAGCTCGGTTGCAGCTTGAGCAAAGGCATATTTCTAATCTGTGACTTCTGTCACTTTTAATGGCTGTAAAATAACTCTGATTCTAATATTATAGCTGATCTATCAAAAGGATAACATTGTATGGTACTATTTTAACTCTTACGTGGAAATATGTTTATGAAAAACAAAGGAAGGACAATTCTACTCTTTTACTACTATTTGACATCTAATAAAACGCTACAATACTCATACTTTATCATTTTCAAAGTTTTTGTCTGTCAAATGTCTGAATACTTAACATTTATTGCAATTGTCACAGTTTCTGGTTGTAGCAAAAGCATCGGCAATAGACGTTTTCATTGGCTGGTTCTTGTTCTGCAAATCGCTGTGTCCAATAGATCATCAGATGTCCAGAAGCTAGGGACAAACAAAAACAAAAGAAAGAATCATGAGTATCTGTCTCATTTAGCACTCATCAATGTATGATTTCAAAAATATAAACATCACTCCCCAGTTTTTCTCTCTCAGGTCCTCAGGTCCCCTGAGGATGAGTCTCAGTCGTCATCAGGTCAGGTCATATTTCGAGAGATGTCATCCTGGACATCAGTAGGGTCCAAGCCATGGTTTTGGTCTCTCCAGATGCACATCAGGATCTCCAGATACAGTCTTTTCACTTGAAGCACATCAGGTCATTTGCGATGCACTTCTGGTCAATGGTGCAGTGTCTCAGTTCCTGTACACAGCTTGTTATGCAGTAGTTACTCTCTATGGTTAGTCACTTTGATTCTACTGTAACACAATTTCTATTCATGCTGTTGCTAATGTCTCTCAGACAAAAGCAAGCGCAATTTACTTCTCTAATTTGCGTTTTTATCATATCTAATTCTAATCAATGTAATTACTTCACACAGTACAAAATCAACAAATCAAAAGTGTCAGGACAGACGTCAATTAAGTCCATGACAATATAGAATTCAAATGAACATTTCTGGTCTCAAAAAATACTGATTCAACTAAAGATTCAAGTGATAGACAATTAAAAATGTGTCTACATTGGAGTAAACTTTTAAAATGCTTTTTTCTCATGTTCTGCTTTTTCATGCATCTATATGTAAATGTGAATGTGTGAGTGTATGTATGTGTGTATATGTGTGTGTGTGTGTGTATGTAGAGTGTGAATTTTGGGGTTGTGTCTCCAGACTCCTCGAACCACCTGTAGGTGTCAAAGGTCACACTGTGGTGATGTAAACAAGCAAAGTGGGCACACTTCCAGATTGCAAAACAACTCACCCACCACCGCCTACAGAAAACCCCACTTTCGTGGCCCCGGTCTCACTGCCACTTACGACCATCGGTCTGTAGTGGGGGAGGGGCACACGGAGGTAGCTATGTCGCCTTTACGATCTGCGGCTGGTTGGATGGTGTCTACTCTGGGCCACTGTTCTGATCCTTCTGTGTCCACTCCAGCAGTCCAGTGACCCTGTACAGTGTGTGCCCTTGGTTCTTATTCTTGTCAAACAGGTGCATGCACGGACTGTCCGAGAGGTCTGCCAACTCTTTTCCGCGTCGGAATATTCAATTTAAAAAAACAAAAGTGACAGAAGCGACAAGAAGCATCCAGGAACAGCTCTTCCAGCCTGCTGGAATCTCCGCTCCCAGACACAGCATGCCGATCTCTCACGCAGAGGAAAAGAAACAGAGCAAACTCCCTCAAAACAATCCAGAGAATGGCACACACTGAGCCGCGCATTCTCCACCAAATCTGTCAGGGATTTAGCAGAGAGAGACGGATCGTGGTGTGCCAAACTCTGGAAGTTTATTTAAGTTTCTCTCAAGTTCCACTGGTTTACTCTGTTTCTTTCTCTCAGACAGAATAAAGGCAGTACACAGTTTATATAGTCATTGTCACGTCACACATCGAAAGACATACGTGTCACAAAGAGACAGTCACATCATAGTCATAACATGGAGTCCTTGTAGAGTCCTGCACGTAGGCCATATTGCTATCTAATACTAACATATCTTTGAAAAGTCCTGTATGTAAGAGCGGTAGTACCCCAGGAATCCTGCTAGTTTCCTCACGTCTCCCACAGTCTTTGGTATCTTGGTAGTCAATGTTTTAACAGCTTCGAGGTCACGTGGGTCTATCTTGACTCCTTCAGCCGACACAATCTTACCCAAGTACCTCACTTCATTCTTAAAAAGTTCACACTTTTCTGGTCTTAATTTTACTCCATGTTGTTGTAGGGTACGCAGCACTTTTCTGAGACACTCAACATGTTCATCAAAAGTTTTTGCATAGCACAGTATATCATCCAAATAGGGTAGGCAACAGTCATCTCGTAGGGGGCCAAGCATCTCCTCCATGCTTCGTTGAAATGCCGCCGGGGCATTTGTTAGTCCGAACGGGACAGGAATGTTATCGGTCAGATTGATCGACATTTGTAGATTTGGCATGCATCCAATCTCTGTACTGTCCTGGGCGAAGGCACCCGATTCTTCACAGAGCAACTTGTGTACCTTTTCTTGTTGCTCATTTGTGAGGTGACTTAAAGAAACAGAAGGTTGCCATGGTACTGTTGTGGAAATTCTGCACATAACAAGAGTAAAATAATGTAAACAACCCAGAGCTGTAATTCCAAACAAAGTGTGAGTTTATTCATTAGTAAATGTGCACAATTACAATGAATAACAGAACCGATACCAATACCACCGGGCAGCCGTCCGAAATCGACTGCCCCGATTGAGGAAATGACTGTACATTAAATAGACCAGAGTAAACAAACACATATCTACTCTAGATATTACATAAATGAAGTCAACATTGATATGTGTTGCTCAAGGCTTCTCTTTACACGTCCTAACGCTGATACAACTCTGATATATGTAACAATCTGCTTTTGACCTGAACATATTGTTCTATGACCCAGGTCAAAGACATGATGCAGCACGTCTCCATCTATCACTGACCTGCTGCCAACAGAGCATTATGGCCTGTATCTGAATCCAGAGTTGACTATTAGTTAATAACTTACACTCATAACTATTTGGTGTTAATTCAGATTGCTTTACTAAAATATTTCTATAACAGTACTGAGTCAATATTAGGAGCGGATGTACTGCTGATGGTTACTGTGGGCTCTGCATCCTCCAGTTCCTCAGGGGAATTCGTGTTTATCACTTTATCAAAACTCTGAATAGAACCAAGAGCTGTTTTTCTTTTCAAAGTCACTGTGTGTTTGGTGTTGTTGCCCACAGGAATAAATACACAAGGATACTTTGAGTTACGTACCTCCACGAGACCCTCACCAATGTCCAGCTCTGCAAGATGTATGTTATTTGTATCAGGCTCGAAGAGAAATACAGTCTCTGACAAGTTCAAATTTGGTGAAGCACAACACTTAATCCACGCGACTTGACCTGCTGAAATAGTGGTGTCACATTTACCAGTGCGGAGTCTCTCATTTTGAGTTAAGGGTTTGTCGGTTTGAATGAAGTTCACGAGCAGCTCTGCTTTTTCTGTAGGGATGGACATAGCACTACAGAGTAAGTTGGTGAGTGTTGGACCCAACTGCTCCGGTTGCCTTTGAATCACTTCCTCTAGCACGTTGAAACCTAGTATTGGTCTTTCCAGAGCAAAGCTACTAATGAGGAAGGGCACCGTGATAGACAAGCTGGGATCTATGTTACCCATAAGGTTGACTGTGATAGGAACCCAACCCTCAAATGGAAGACAATCACCATTTACAGCATATAGTTTAAAGTCATCCTCTTCCTCAACAATGTCACCAAGTAATATTTGTGTCAGGAAGATATTTGTTTTTCCACTCTTTATCAATAATGCTTACTTGGGCCCCTGTATCTAAAAGTGCACCGACTGCAAAGCCGTTAAGATTGCACTGGGTGAGGGCTTTCTTACCAATAAGCTTAGCCAGTCTTTGACTTTTAACATCAGGTAAGTCCGTAGCGACTGCGTTGACATGTTTAGTTTCAGTCTGTTGTTCATTTTCTTTGTCTTTACTTGTGGCAGGTTGGGACATAGAAGAGGATCCGGTCACTGGTTGTCCCTTGACAGAGACCGGTCCCAGTTTCCCTGACGCGATGGTTTCTTGAGACAGCCCATGGCTCGATGTCCCTCTGCACCACAGTAAAAGCAGTGAGGACAATCAGAACGGTTATCTGCAAGACATGTTGGACAACCGTGTCGCTTTGGTTTCTGATAGTTCCCTTTACTCTTTGTGTATCGGTTTGTTTGTTCAGTCTGTTGTGATTGTAAATACTCAACCATACTTGTTAGCTTTTCCACTTTTTCTAATAGCTGTCGGATTGTGTCTGTCTTTTTGTCATCGTTTTGTTTCTTCACGTGCGTGACCTCCTTTACAGAAGCGCCCTGAGCAGCGTTTACTTCGGTGGCACTATGAACATTAGCATTTCTTGGTCGTGACACAGGCCCAAGACGACGCTGCCTTTCGCTTTCATCACTCATTACTCTTTTCAGATGCTTAAGGATAGCTTCATCAGAGACAGAAGGTTCAGCAAGTAATGGTTTCAGTTCTCTGCGAATGTCACTGTGTTTGTGTCCTAGACCCTGGTACACTGTGTTAAGAAAAACGTCTTGGACTGTGCTGGTAGAATATTTTACATCAGTGGCAATGTGTTTTGATGCCAGCAGGATTTTTTGCTTAAGGCCTATGACTCGATAAAGGAACTGTTGAGGAGTTTCATTGTCATTTTGCTTAGTGCACATCAGTTCTTGGAAAAGTTCAGTATTGTTCTGCTCACCAAGGTGGGAGTGCAAAAAGTCTTTTAATTCGCTTACAGTCAGTTCATCTTTATTCATCAGCATATATTTGAAAGTACCTGGTTTGATGGCTCTGAGAACAGCTCGGACTATTTCAGTGTCACTAAACTGTTCTTTAAAACCTTCTTCGATCTGGCGACAAATATTGTTATAACTTAGATCTGTCCCTTGATCTCCAATTTGTCCTCCTAGAATTTTGAACTCTCTCCGGTGAAGATAGGAGAGATCCCTTAGTGACAGGACTCTGTCATGAGGGGAGTGCTCACTATTTTGGGCTATGACTTGTGGCTCAGGCTGTCTTTGTACAGATGGCTGAAGTACAGGCTTAGCAGGTGAGGGCATGAATAGGGACATTTTCTCACTTAATTCCCCATAACTACTGAGTAACCCTTGTAACTGTGTGCTATATTGGTTCTCAGAAACAGCGTTTGCATTTTCAGGTGGGTTATTATTGCTATCTTGACTTATTAAAATGTAATTAATCTGTGTGTCTGGGGACTGCGCTCCTTCATCACTTCCACTCATTTTAGCAGACAACTTATGGCTTTGGGTGAGTTGTTCATTTTCATCTTTGAGCTCAAGCAAATGTGACATTCCGGCATCCTCAGACTCTAACAACTGCTTACTGTTCATCACCAGTGTTGGGCACGTTACTTTGAAAAAGTAATTTGTTATAGTTACTAGTTACTTCTCCCAAAAAGTAACTGAGTTACTAACGGAGTTACTCCACTATAAAAGTAACTAGTTACCAGTAAAAGTAACTATTGCGTTACTTTTTCGTTTTGTTCTGGAACATAATGTGCACTCGACGTGCGCATTTTTACCTTTAACCTCAGTGAGTCTGAAATAGAGCCAATATTTCCATCTAGAAAAGGCTGTTTTGCTGCTGAAGTCCTGTTCACTCTTCATCTCTCTCTGTGCTGTAAGCACTAAACACCAACACCCGCCACTGTGAATGTGGAAACACCGGTGAAGCACCGACTTCAGCCCAATCAGATGAACATATATATCATATAAATCAAGTGGACCTAGAGAGCGGCTTATTTGTTTGGCTACAGCAGAATATGTTTCATTCCCGCATTGTTTGTTCATACAAAACGCAAAACTAAGAGTTATGGGTCTTACCTTATAAATGACCTGCACAGTCCACTTCGGTTCAGACCAGTTCTGTGTTTAAGTCCAGATAATAGTTTGAGCGTAGATATGTAATCCTCCATTTGGAAATGAGTCCAATTAGTTTTAAAAAGCAAAACAAAACGCGTGTGTCCTCCATAAACTCCTCTGTTTTGCTAGCTGAAGCCGGGTGCATCCGATTTCTAAAATCAACCGTCTTACACTTCACCTCTCTTTCTTATCATTCCTATAGTCATTGAAAAATTACCCTAAGTGCATTTTAAATTATCTTAAAATGTGTTATATGTATGTTAGCCAAACCTGTTGATGTCCTTAGCAGATAAACCAGGAAGAGCAAGGAGCTTATCGATGGAATTGTATGCAGCCGACTTCTGCGCTCACATGCGCTCCTCTGAGGCTGACCTCACGGTGATACAAGCCGTGGTAGAGTGTGATTAATTTGTTTCATTTGTTTAAAAATCACAATTTATTAGCTATCCTCTCAACTGTAGACATGTAGATTGTAAAGGAAATATGTTTTACATCAGCCAATAATTTCTGAGAGGTTTTCTCAACCTCCCTTCTCTCATGACGACACGCGCACGAGTCCTATCACGAAGTAAAAAGAGAAGTTCACTGTGCGTCTTGAGTAACGCGCAGTAACGGGATGTCGGAAATGATAACGGCGTTATAGTTACAGTCAAAGTAATTAGTTAGATTACTCGTTACTGAAAAAAGTTACTAGTAACGCCGTTATTCCCATCACTGTTCATCACACCACTGATGTACTGGAAACAACTCTCCTCATCCTCTGACGTGAGACGTGACAGGTCCACTCCGGGCATGGGCCCCAGTGACTTGGCGAATAGGATCAGTTCGTCCTCAGGAAGAGTGAGCAGGTCTCTCTTGATGCTCCGCACCAAACTTCTCCTCTCACTATCTGACTGTCCCCTTTTTCTTTCGTGGCACCCTGTAATCTTTGTCCTTGACAGGCGTTGTTCTGGTACTTGGCAATCTTTAATCTTTACTCATCACCGCTGGCGCGTGAGTGTCGAATCTTCATATGTTGGCACCACCTGGACTGGTCCCTCTGGTTACTGCAGGACTCATCAGGTTTTACCAATACCTTCCCCGTACGGGCCACCAAGAAACTGTTGCAGGTATCGGCCGGTACAATATCTGCTGACAGTTTATTATTTTTTTTTTTTTTATTTGGGGAAGGATTGGGATTGAAACTGAAATTAAAAGAAAAGAGACAGTCACACTCAACTTCGCTCCAGGCTCTCTGCTTGCCGACTGACGCGAAGCAGGAGCGGGCGCCTTAAAACTGTCTCCTTACCAGCACTGCCCTCTAGTGGTAGGCGTCAATACTATCTATTTTAAATGTATTTAATTATACGGAATAATGTGACCACACATAGTGGGCGTCACACAATTAACCAAGGCTCAGTGGGTGACAAGGAGGAGGCTTTTGGCAACCTTGTATTTCTCAGCCTCTGAAGTTTATAGTAACATTAAAAAAAAAGACTGCATAAAATCTCAGTTTTAACTGGAAACTAATACTTTTGCCTTAATTTTCTTTAAACATTTAAAAAATGCTTAATAACGAGGATAATTTTACACAAGCAAATAGCTGCTCATGTGATGATTAATAAATGTTAAATGAGCTAAAGTTTCCTGATAAAGACAAATTGGTGCCAAAATTCAAGCTCTCAAAAATCAAAACGATTTGGTTCAAACGGTTCAATGAAAGGAGGAGCTACGGTTTGGCCAAAAAGCTTTTTTGTTCGAGGGTTACTTTCAGACATATTTCCTCTCTCTCAGCAGTGTCAAAATTTGACAATGTCACAGCAGCTGCTGGGGTTGATTGCTCTGCTCCGATTGGTGGGCTCACCTGGCCCTGGTTGCTTGGCAACCAAAGCTTGCCCCTCCCAAGCCTGACTGCAATTCACTTTATTGAACTCTCTGTATAATAACAATGACTATCTATAATATGGCTCTACGCTGTTACGTCACAAATCAAGCGGAGGTGAATACAACGCCCTCGCTTCATTGAAAACAATGGGAGATCGCTGATATTTGGTGGTTGTTTAAGAGGATTTATTAAGGTGAATAATTGTTGGATTGTGATATGTGATTTGATTACCATGATAACCTGCCTATTGAGGCAAAAGTCTGATATAAACAGAAATTTTACTTAATTGGTCTCGATTAATGTTTGTACAAACTGCCAAGAGGTCGCCTAGTACACGTCGCTAATCCATCGCAACGGTGTTGAATTTCACGCATTTATGTTCGCTTTACAGGAAATAATCATGATCTAAGTTAAACGTAATGCTGACGAGAAAATGTTTTAGAAGCTTTTAGGCAACGTTCTGTCTAGTTTATTCGTCTTTAGATTTAGCTAAAGCATGACTTAGCTAACACGCCAATGACATTAAACATTTGATTGACAATTTATTTTATGTCTAAAGCAAAGTAAATGGTAGAATTTAGAGCCTGATGTGTCCGGCACAGTTACGTTAAACTTTAAAACATAATCCACACAATGTGTTTAAATCTGCATACTTTGATTCTAATCATAAAACTTACTCAGTTTACAAGATTGAAGCTGTAGTTCAGACAAAATGGAACATCCGACCGCACAACAGCGTTTAGGCCGGATTTACTGAGAAAAACTAAATTTATCGAACACAAACTGTCACTCACAGGCAAAAACGCTGTTTAATACCGCCATTGTTTTCACCTCCACGGCGCCGGATGGAAGAAGAGCCCTATACAGTTTGAATGTCAGCCATTCTATGCCATTCTATGACACACACACACACACACACACACACACACACACACACACACACACACACACACACACACACACACACAGACAAGACAAAAGGCTTTCAAAATAACCCCCATCCACAGCTTCATAGGCCGCTATGTTAAAAGGCGGGAAAACTTCTGGAGGAAAGCGGAGATACCAGCATCTTTCAATCGCTCTAAACGTCCCATGTCTTAATAAGCCACATAAAATATATACATCAGTGTTCAGGAAATGCTCAGAATGCTCACGGTGAAGCCAGTTCAATTATAGGATATACGGTTTTTCCAAAAAGCCTTCTTGTTCGAAGGTTACTTTCAGCTACAGTTGACTGCTCTGATTTGGTATTAGCTAGCGCTCGCTAACGTTAAAAACCTTAACATTTCAACTACCATTACACTGTTGTTTAAATTTGAATTTACCTCTGAATCTCTGGGCTTCGACTTCTGTCACCTCTACACCTGCCTCACGTATCTTCGTTAGCAGGTCCTCGGTTGAAAGGCCAACGAGCGCCATGTCCCGCTGCGGACTAAAGAGGAGAACTTTCTGGAAACAGTCGGTTTTCTCAAGTGTCTAGTTCAACAACCAATCACGTTTGCGCTACATATGACATGCACCAATCAAAAGCAGAGCTGGCTAAAGTACCCAGCAACGGGCTGGCAACGGCAATACTTAGCGTTTACGAGCTGACGACTAATGTTATATGTTTGACCGCGGGGTTAACGGGGTACAGCAAGCATAAATAACACATTATGTTGTTGAGAACGGAGTTCATTAAAATAAGTTTCTTGCTAACAACCGTGACTCATCCACAGTGGCGGGCCGTGGGGTTTCAGTCACGCCCCCAAACAAAAGCAAAAAACCTTCGGGAACACTCGTGCTATCAATATCATACGGAAACACGTGACACATGACAGGCAGAGACGAGCGCGTTATAACATGGACATTTTAGGAGATGTTTTAATGTTGACAGAGCGAGACATCAGAGATCAACTCAAACGCAAAATCAACCGTAATAAAGGGATTTTAAACTTACAGTTTGGTGCAATGTGAGATGCTTTTTAGCGCTCGTAGTCCCGTACCTGTTCCCTGCCCGAGTCCCAGCTCAGCTGACGCGAGAAACTCTTCTCCTGTCCGGGTTAGCCAAACGTCTTCGTCCCGCTGTCCTTTCCGCTGCTTTGCTCTAGAAGCTTGTCATAATGAAGGGGCGCAAAATATCGGTGATCAGTAAATCCACTTCATTTTGCCTCGTTCGGACATTTCCAAGAGGAATATCGTCTTGCCCATGAGCGGTTACGTTAGCGGTTTTCCCAGGTGAACAAAAACGTAGGGGAAGCTACTGTGCTACTGCAGGCAGTGTTGCCAACTCCTCAGTAAGGAAAGTAGCTATTGGCTGTCCCAAAAGTCGCTAGAAGTCGCTAAATGACGTCATCGCCTAATTTGCATAATTGGCAATTTGCAAATAACTGTAACGGACTCTGTAAGAGAGAGGAATAACGTCGTGGGAGAGACAAAAGTGAGTAAAAAACACCCTAAATATGTTTAGAACTACAAATGTACAAAAATAATTTCAACATTAACAACATTTAATGATTTTAATGCTTTGTCTAGATCTGTCGTTAGTCGCTTTTTTGAAAAAAAGTCGCTATAGGGTCTGAAAAGTCGCTAAATCTAGCAACAAAGTCGCTAAGTTGGCAACACTGACTGCAGGCCCCGGTGGGCGTACTGTTAATGTGTAGAATTCTGATTGGCTGATAATTCGGCTGCGTGGCTGTGTGCGGTGCGGCCTGACATCACAGGGCCTGCACAATCTGTTCTGAAGGCCCTGTGTTTGTAACGCTATTATTACTGTTAAAAAAAATAAAAGAGTAGTCTAAAAAAATAAATAAATAAAAAAGGCCCTGATGAGGAGCAGTGAAACCTTCACATTAAAAAAAATATAACTACTGAAGAAAGACTTATATAAATATTAGACATATTAATATTTAGGCTACTGCCAATTGTAGAGCCTATCAGCCTAACACACGTACTGTCTATTGTACCTCATGTAGAAGAAAAGGTACATATATGTACCTTTTACCACTTGGGTACATATATGTACCCTTTGGGGCCTCAAAAAGGTACATATAGTTACCTTAAGGTACAATAATTAGCCCTAGGGGGTACATTAGTGTAGATTGTACCTCGGGGGACAAAAAAGGACTCATACTGTACCCCTATTTGCTACTGCTGTAGTAGTAGTAGCAGTAGCAGCAGCAGTAGCAGTATTAGCAGTAGTATCAGTAGTAGCAGCAGCAGTATGTACCCATGATAAGTGTGATGACGCCTCCGATCACGGTGCGTTTGTTCTTGGCGCTCTGAGGCTCGTTGCCCACGTTGATGCAGTGCAGAGACATGAGGATGACACCGAGGGCCGGCAGTCCCAGGATGGAGCCCGTGATCATGAGGGCGCGGGTGGTCTGGATGTGGGCTGCGTTGGACAAACATGAAATAGACAGTAACATTGAGAGAAGTGGCAGTGACATGCATTGGTAAATATAGCTAAGACAACAATGAAGTAAAGATGAGGATTTTGTTTTCATTTCAGAGTAATTAGTGAGAGTCAACATAATGGCTCATTACCTTGAACAAATTCACTATAATCAGTAATGTGCTGGGAATTTGGTAAGAGTTTGAAATAAGCAAATAAACACAAAATAAATAAAAATACCTCAAGGCTATGTTCTTTATGTATGTCTATGGTAAAGTGCTAAAGTAATGTATTTTGCTAGTTATCATGATTAGTACAGGCTATTTCTAGATCCAACATTGAATTACCTTAAAGCTGGTGCTTAGAACCACAAATATATGATGAAATCTATGCTTAACTATTCAAGTATGAACAAAAGTTTTCTAACAAGATAAAGATGTCATTTAGGGAACTTATTTGTTCACAACATTTTACTTTTACAATCCTCTTTCTATTGAGACAAATGTGTAATATTCATAGGAAAAAGTTTGATAGTAGTGATTATTTAGCTTTGCGTCTTTTAGCTCCCACTAATATTTATTCTGTTTACACACTGAGGTGTGTAAACCGTTGCTGTTTCTCATTCGGGAAGGCTGCTCAGAGGTTTTGGATGTGTGTAGTTTTGTAAAGAAAAAAGAGATTTCTTTATTTTCAAAAGTGATATACCCCAGCTTTAAAGTCAGAATCAGAAAATGTGTACTAGTTTACTACCAACATGGTATCTATATATCTTGAGTTCAAATTCCTCAAATTCCTCAAAAACCTCAAAGTTTTCTGTAAAAATACTTAGTAAGACAAGCTGGGGTACTTACTTTACTCTTTTTGTCCCATCAAAAAGTCTTCTTGAGTAAAATGTTGTGAACAAATCAGACCAACATATTGTCTATATCCTATTCAAGACACGTTATCTTTCACATGCTTGTAAGAAAGAGCTCTGCGGGTCACTATATGAAACTTTGGGCTGAGATATTTCACTTTTATGTCTGAAAAAGCTGATCTAAAGATATAACAGAGGCCAAGAATACATGCACGTGAAAACTAATGATGGAACCAAACTGTTTTAGAGCCAGGAATAGTTACATGAATAGTAAAGCTTAGTTTGTGTGGTTTGCAAATTAGGGATCCTTTTCCTTAAAATAAAACAAATAAGAAATATTACAACAGCTTCCCACGTACCTGGCAATTCAAGCATCTGCGACAGAGAGAAGCAGTGGTAGACCCCAGTGGATAACACACAGTCCGCCCACGGCCCCTTGGCTCCCAGCTCGTCCATCTTCTTACAGGTGTTCAGGCCATATTTACAATGGATCACAATGGTCATTCGTCACTGTGGCTATTATGATGCCCAGCCAGCCCAAAACACACAGGATGAACGCACATAACTGGAGCCTGGAGTTTGCCATAATGCCAAATAAGTATCAAAGTGGATCAAAATTAAAAAAAGTGAATGCACTTTTTATATAGTTGGAGTTGTAAAGTCCTTGGTGTCCCTCCTGAAAGCTGCAACTCGGGTTGAAAGTATACACTTTTCTCATCTGATCAGTATTTATAGAGAGTGTGGAGCCAAAAAAGTGCCCAGCTTTGACTTTGGACCAATCAGAGGAGTCACAGAAACGGGGCACAAAAAACAGTCTGGAAAAGTGTTGCATCTGCAGAAAAGCACTGCCTCCTATTCATATGTGAGGGAATGGATGGTGATAAGTGAGAGGCTGCTATCTGCTGGACAAGAAAGGGAATGCGAGACCACATGCTGTCTTTTTTCTTAGACCATATTTTGAGTACATGCTGCCTTCATCTTTTACCATATTGAGACCATTTTTCGTTAATTTGTATTTGTATTTGGCTGAGTGAGGGCGGCCCTCTCTGTTTCACTTCTTTGTCTGAAAAAAGTTGATCTAAAGATGTGACTAAGGCCAAATATTAATTTCGAAACTAGTGATGTAACTGTTTTGAGAGTAAGCAACTAAAAGGTTTAGTAAGGTTCATTGTGTTTGGAAAGTGTTAAAAGGTGCCCAAACCCTAATGACAATGGGGAAACTGTTTCAAATCTAAAATGTTGACCGTTATTGTGAGGTTTAACATATGGACAAATGAAGCAATAGATATAACAGAGAAATATTCACCTTAACAACCTGTCAAAAAGCACAAATCCTTCCTTTCATCACAATTTTCTTATTGTTTCCCCTTTACATTAGTTTAATGTTTTGGGTCTGAATAAACTCCCACAAGGTTAATGCAAAAATGCATAATGTAAATGTTTTATACCGAAGTAAACCTCTTAGTGCATTCCTAAGTGATAATGTGTTTGGTCGAAATTAATGAATAAAGTCAAATTGTGACACACACTGGGCTCTTTCCTAAAAGTGTGCAAATTATAAAAAAATAAAAAAATTAAGTAATCAGGTAAACACCGCCTGTTTTGGCGGTGTTTGTCCTAAATATTTAACTTCTGGGCTCAAACTTGGGCACAACTAATATGCATTATTATTGGGAGGGACAATTTAGGTACCCCAACTTTTTCTTCAACAAAGATATTCTTCTTGTTTAGAACCTGAACCGTGGGGGGTGATCTGACGGTGATCCCCGGTGCAAATCTTTGTATCCTGCTGGAGAGGCAGCACCACAAAGCGGCCACAGTTACAGAGACGGAGGATGTGGAACCCTTTTTAAGCTCGTACCCAGCGTTTCCTCACACTATTTGAGAAGGACAAACTTAGTGGAACTGAATTTTTTTTATGCTGCCACAGATAGAAAGTCCAGCAGCATAACTTTCATCAGGCCTACACAAATGTTAATTCTAAAACAAAATTCTATTTACAATTATAAGGTATACAATTACAGTACACCTCCATTAACTCTATTTCTTTCGCTTGTATTTTTCAAACAACCGGAAATGATGAGCGTCTTAAGAACCCAACAATAGAACATTTAATCACGTGACCCTGATACTATAACAGCAAGATGATTTAATAAATTCATTCATTCCTCAGTCCTGGGCTGTTCCCTGGACACAGTGCAGCAGGTGGGGGACAGGAGGGTCCTGAGCAAACTAACATCTATGCTGGACCATGACTGTCGCCCCCTGCAGGACACTTTCTCTGCTCTGGAGAGCAGCTTCAGTGACAGACTTATGCACCCTCGCTGTGTGAAGGAGAGGTTCCGTAGGTCTTTCCTTCCTGCTGCTGTCAGACTGTACAATAAGAACTGCTGAGCCTGTAAATTTCATAAATTTCATTCATCTGTAATTAAGTAAATTCTTAAATCATGTGCAATGTGCAATACTGCAACTTCAGATAAGTATCCATCTATCTAAAACCTTATTAAGATTGTTAAGTTAAAAATACTAAAAACAAGTGAAATGCTCTCACATAAAAAAACTGTTTGGGAAGAAGAAATATCTGGGCAGACAAAAAACTCGACATTGTGGCTTTAACTGATGAATGATAAGAAACGAGCCCCATTTTAGTGACTTCAAACTTTTAAATGTCAAAAAGACTTGAAACAAGACGCTCAAAGCCATAATTTAGGCCATATCAAAATCAATCAATTTAATTTTTTAGAGCTCTTTACAACTCTCAAAGTGCTTCACAATAAAATCCATTAAAGCATATATGCATTCAAACAATAACAAAAAGCATAAAAAAACACATGGGATGATGTAATGTGATGATGTCATGATATGAGAATGTGTCGTGGTTCTATGGAACAGGGGCATCTTCTAATCTCCATGGTAACCTGACTTTGGCCCCAGAGGCCAGAAACACAGATATACTCATTCTTATATTCTTGGTTGAAGCGGTAACACGTATTTTGGTTTGCTCTGGTCTGTTCTGTTCGTTTTGTGGATTTGTGAATCTTATCTCGTCCAGAAGTTATTACAAACGTCTGCGACTTTGCATCAGGTAAGACTCACAGAGGATTGGGGATTTTAGACTTTGAAAACTGTGATTTTTGGATTTTTGGTTTGAAGATATTTCTAAATCTCTTTTAAATCCCGTTTAAGCTGGTATACCTAACTCAAAACACAGATAATAATAAAATAGGCAGTTTGTTGGATACAGTTGGTGCAGTTTTCACATCATGTTTGATTGGCCTTATCTTTAAATCAGCTTTTGTTAAGTGCACTTTAAACAGCAGCGTATGAGACAGAGCTTGAATATAAAGCTTCCCATGACAACATTACATTTAAAGCTAAACATGTTACATTAGCAGCAATGTTGCTTCTTTGAGCCAAGTCTTGTACTTTCTGACCTAATTGATCATAAAATGTGGTGTTTATCAATTTAAAACAGACTGCATCTATTCTTATTACATTTAATCAACAAATCTTTTGCCCCTGCCCACTTTGGGAACCACTGCAGTAGACATAACACTCACTAAAGTCTTGGTATTTGGTCCAGAGCAGAGCAACATTTTCACATTTTATTTCGGTTGCTTCTGTAGTCACAGACAGGTTGTGGTTAGGGCTAATTTTAGGGTTGATACAGTCCATTTGGTTAAGGTTAGAATTGTATGTTGTATATTTAAGAGCCACCCCGAGGCCAGTCTGACTGGGTCCACTGGTCATATTCCAACTGTAGATTTGGTCTGTACAGTGTTCTAGTCACACTTCCTGAAGTGTTTGTTACCTCTTTTACTGTGGCTTGGACATGGCCTGTATCCCAAAGTCCACACTAGTCCATATTTTGGCCAATATTAGATGTCATGTCACACACACTGCCAAAGGGGCTGATCATGAGCGCCATGTTTGCTGTAGTGTTTGAACCTTGTCATTTTCCACAGATCTTTTTCTCTGCATCGTCGGCATCATCTACTTCTCTCATGAAGTGGATTCGCGACCTGATGAAGGCTGGGGGCAGCATCTCCTCGCCTTTCGCCTCCTATCAGCTGCAGAAGATCCTGGGCTCAGGATGCTTCGGCACGGTCGCCCTCTGCACCAAAGACAACACCGACCAGAAGGTGGCGCTGAAGGTGGTTAAGGATCCTGGCCGTGAGGTAAGACAGTGAAACACTTGTTGATTGGACGCCAGTAGGTCTTTCTCACTCGCTAAGCCCCACCCCCGTGTCCCAGTGACACGTTCCGACTTTCTCAGTAAAATCTCATAACCACAGAATGGTCTACAACAATTGCGTACTCTATACATTCATACACTGATTTTGAATGTTTTGATTGGTTTGAGAAAAAGTCAGATCCTGTCAAAGACGTAAAATGGCGAATGACTCCGGTGGGAGAATGAATAATGCTAACTATTGGTAATGGTTGTACATGTGCGCCCCCTACAGGCTAATTTCCTGAGTTTCTTGAGCAAGTCTGGATCTGCGTCCCACAACATCGTACAATGGTTCCAGAGCTTCGACTTCAATGGTCACTTTTGCCTTGAGTTTGAGGTGCTGGATATGGGTCTGGATGACTTTTTGGAAAAGTCCTCACTTCTGCCGCTTCAGCACATCCGGCCAATTATCACACAGGTATAGTATACACATTTTAATGAGACAAATGTGGTCTTTATTAGGATTAAACTCAAGGACTTACTTTGCAGATGGCCGACGCTTTGACCTTTTTGAAGAGCCTGAAAATAGTCCATGGCGACCTGAAGATGGAGAACATTATGCTAGTGGATCACGTGAGGAAGCCTCTCCAGGTTAAACTCATTGACTTCGGACTGGCTCGTCCTGCACATCTAGTCACACGAGGCACTTGTTTTGGGGCACTTTGCTACAGGTATGTTAGGGACAGCAGCACAGGGACATGGACACACAAGGGACAGACAGTCAAAGGGACAAAGAAGGAACATTAACAGTCATTTAATGAGTCCTGGATCTGTAGTCTGTCAGTTTGTGGTGATCCCTCCCTCGATGTCGGCCTCTCTGAGGTTTCCCAACTTCTCCCACGGGGTTTTTTTAGTCTAAGGATAATGGTGATTATCCAGGACATTTAAGGACATGAACATTTTTTTACATTTATTGACATTGGACATCCACCCTTTATGGACCAATGGATCCTTTGTGATTGTTGTTATTGCATTTCTTGTCTTGTTTGATTCTCTGATCTGTGTTGGCAAATGGACAACTTCATAAAGTTTTCCGAGATGACTACTGTAGTGAATTAGGGCGATACAAGTGAATTGAAAGTATAATGTATAAACAGAAAGGCCTGTCATAGACGGTCAGAGAAGTAGATGCAGACATGAGTTCAGGGTCAGTTTCCATCTGGAAGACAATAGTAAATTAAAGATCCTTTTGAGTAGACAACTAAAAAACGATGTGTAAAGTACTGATTGTGAGTGTGACAGTCTTTTTTGAGTGGGTACTTCCTGTTTGTCTCGTGGCAGTTATGTGCTGCCTTCACCAGTCTGCACACTATGTCTAACACAAGAACAGGAAAAGTAAAGAGAGAGATATATAAAGTTCTAGTCATTTATCGTTAATTTAAAGGATACATCAACCTAGTACCCAAATGTATGTTTTTTTCAAATAAATAATTCACAATAAAACCATGAACTTCTGGCACAAACACATCCCCCCTTCTGTGAAAAAGCCTTTTTCGAACTCTGCACTCTTTGATGTTCCTACTGTTTTGGATTGAAAGTATTAAATGGTTGACCTTGTGTGTGAGCAGCGCCCCGGAGATGGCAATAGGAGCCCCTATGCACCACGCCTTGGACATGTGGGCGCTCGGTTGCATCGCTGCCGAGCTGTTCCTGGGACAAGTGCTCTTCAACGCCAAAAAGACGGCTGATCTGGTGAGTGTGACTGCATTCAATAACGTTATCTACCGCTACTATTGGAAGTCCTAGTGCAACTACTGCTGCTGCGGCTGCTGCTCTTACCTCTACTACAAACAATTAGTAAATTACAAACATTTGGTTTGGATGTAATTAAGCTTGGGTGACTCTTTGAGTTTATGGAGATGTTTTTGTTTTCCCTGAATAATGAATTCCATACGTAAGTCATTCAAATGAAGCGTAGTACTAGTTTAAGCCGTGTCCCCTGAATCTTGAATCTACATGTAACCTCAAAGTTCATTCAATAACATCTCCATGCAGTTGCCTTTGAAAAGATGATTTTAACATACTGCATTATTTCCACAGGTTGAAGTGATTGTCCAAATATTGGGGCTGCCTCCCAGAGAAGTGCTGGACTCTGGTCTACTTACGAAAAAGTACTTCTGCCGTCCAGATGGACAGAACTGGGTGCACAAGGTATGGACATTTTCAACGGAACAGACTTCTCTGCAGTTAACATTGCACCATAGTTTTGAGGGGGTCCCCATAAATCATGGCTTGGCCCTCTCCCAATTTGTTTTCTTCTTGTTTTCAAAATCAACTGAATCAGTAAATGTTATTCTCTCCCAAAACAGCACTTAGTCGTCCTTAATTGTCTTATCTTTGTCCTAGTCATCATGTGTTCCTTGGAGGATGAAGAGACCAGTCCCTGTAGAAACACTGGACGAAATGTACACGGTAAGAGGCCTATTTTGTGAATAACAATGCACAGTTGAATTAGTTGCATGAAAATTTGCAAATAGGTTTTTTTTTTCTCCTCAGAGGAATCCAAACGGTGGTGAGGATTTGTATTTCTTCGTGGACCTGGTCAAGCGGATGCTGGACTTAGATGCAGGTTCCCGAATTGACCCCAAGGAGGTGATGACACATCCCTTCCTGAATGCATCCCTACGTGCCCATGTTGAGAGCCAAAAGCCTCAGTAAGTATTTGGCCAATGTTTTCTCAGGAAGTGCTATGCTAGCTCTTAGTCTGACACTTGCCTGTAAAATACTGTATAATCTCTATCTTTACAACTGCAACTACAAGATCTACTACTGACAAATACTTTCTAAAATGATGTCTTTTAGTTTGGAGAGTCAGTCGTCCGTCTCCCCCTGCCTCTCAAAGCCTAGAGGCCAAAAGAGGAAGCGCGAAGACGATGACGATGAGGAAGATGTCACGAAACGTCCTGAGAAACGTTACAGAAGAACAGACCAGGCTTCTGTGACCAGGTATGTAAAGTTTCCTCTATGTGCTGTAAGATCTGTCTGTGACCTGAAGTATGACGCTTCATCATTGGCTCCATTATCTTTGTTGTGTTGAATCTTGCTTGAATCAAAGGCAGCTCCACTCTCCAACCTGGATCTCAAATATCAAACCCATAGATATAAAAAAAAAATGAAGCTGGTCTTTGGTCAAATAGCAGTTCTACAGTGCTGTAAAGTGTGGTCTGTCACTTATATTAGAGATTCTGGGATATTTGTTCGTGTCCGAAGGGGAATCGGAAGGGCCAATCATAGAGATCTTCCTTCATCAGGGACAAAGGCTGTAATCATTGAACATTTTTCACATCTTTGTCTCTCTTCCAGCTCTCAAGCATCTTCCTGCAGTCCAGGCTGTTTTAGACCACTGGTTCCTGGTTCTTCAGCCGCTGACCCTAAGTCTCAGTAAGTATTTGACAAATGTTTTGGTTCGATGTTAGCGCAGAGTACGAGCCTTGTCTTTAACATTCTGTAAAATCCCTATCTTTACAACTGCAACTACAAGATCTACTACTGACAAATACTTTCTAAAATGATGTCTTTTAGTTTGGAGAGTCAGTCGTCCGTCTCCCCCTGCCTCTCAAAGCCTAGAGGCCAAAAGAGGAAGCGCGAAGACGATGACGATGAGGAAGATGTCACGAAACGTCCTGAGAAACGGTACAGAAGAACAGACCAGGCTTCTGTGACCAGGTATGTAAAGTTTCCTCTATGTGCTGTAAGATCTGTCTGTGACCTGAAGTATGACGCTTCATCATTGGCTCCATTATCTTTCTAAAATGTTGTCTTTCAGTTTGGAGAGTAAGCATACTCAGTTGCTCTCCTCTCTTCCTGAGACTCCTGAGGTTTCTCTGCCTCGTGGACTAAAGAGGAAGCGAGAGAACGGGAAGGAGGGAGAAGAACGTCCCGACAAACGATACAGAAGAGCGGATCTGGTTTGATAAGGTTTGTAAAGTGTCCTCTATGTATTGTTTGATGTGTCCTCTCCAATCTGTCTGGGACCTGAAGTGTGATGTCACACTTTGTCATCATCAATAGCTCAATTATCTTTGTTGTGTTGAATCAAAGGCAGCGCCACTCTTCGACCTGAATCTCAAATATCAAACATATTGTTAGATATTGAAGCTGGTCTTTGGTCGAACAGTTCTAGGTTCCCACATGTTCACGTTTCATTCGATTTTTTGGTCAAACTGCAAATGTGGTTGAATATTAATGTAAGATGTCTCCTGCAGGTCAAAAAGGATGTGGAGACAACAGCATCAAGCTAAAAGGGCTTGTGATAGGCTCAAAGAACAATTCTTTAACAACTGAGCAACGATTTTTATTCCACTGAAATGGAATTGGTTTACTGGGGAGTAGTAGTGATGCACCCAGTGACTGCTGGCCCTGATGCACCTGCATTTTAGAAACAAAAGCTGAAGATGGTCCGGCGGGCCATGGCCAAAAGACCCATGAAAAGCAAGCCCCCGAGAATGGACTCTGAAAGAGGAGTCTGAAAGAGGAGTCTGAGAGAGGACTCTGAAAGAGGACTGTGAGAGAAGCCCCTGAGGGTAAACCTTGTGGGTGGACACGGAGAGAGGACAATCATGTCCCGTTGGACAATATTGTTCTATCAATAAACTCATTTCAAAGCAGCATCCGGGTGTCATGGTGTTCAGGGATTTCAAAGGAACTAACACATTAAAACAGAACATTTAGGGTTCATTTGTTTATTATAATAACATTTAAATTGTGATTTACCCATTGAAAAACATTGACTTGAGAGGACAAGAACTAAAGTGAGTTGGCCAATACAAAAAGATGGTCCATGTGTTTTGAGCCAATCACACTCAGTTTAGAGTTTATCAGCGCTGCTGCACGGGACAGTGAGTTATTTGGTGTGTGGTCTGCAATCGGTCGGTGACTTGAAGGGAATCACTGTCTGAAGAACTTTCATCATAAGAGAGCTGACAAAATGTCTTTCATCTGCAAAATGTTGAATCAGAATCAGAATCAGAATCAGAATCATTTTTATTGCCAACGTAAGTAACGGGAGGTCACAGACTTGGAAATTGCTTTGGCTCAGTGCAACAGTCAAAAAGAGATAATAAAAATAAGAATAAAAAACACTTCTAAAGAATAAATTTAAATTTAAAATAGAGTTACAGTTACTATTTACAATATACAAGTGCACATGGTGCACACAATGTAAGGTGACAGCAGTACAGTGAAGTAAAGTGACGTATGATGGGCAGTAAAGTGACTTTATAAAGGGCGGGGGGACAGGTTAAGAAGTGTTCAAGAGTCCAACAGCAGAGGGAAAGAAACTGTTCTTGTGGCGGGAGGTTCTAGTCCTGATGGACCGCAGCCTCCTGCCTGAGGGGAGTGGTTGGAATAGTCCATGTGCAGGGTGAGAGGGGTCGGCTGTGATACGACCAGCCCGGCCTCGAGCTCGGGCGACGTACAGGTCCTGCAGCGATGGAAGGCTGCGGCCGATCACTTCCTCTGCAGAGCGCACAATGCGCTGTAGTCTCTGTTTGTCCCTGACTGTGGCTCCAGCGAACCACACGGTGATGGAGGAGGTGAGGATGGACTCGATGATGGCCGTGTAGAACTGCACCAACATCTGTGCAGGCAGCTTGGCTTTCCTGAGCTGCCGCAGGAAGTACATCCTCTGCTGGGCCTTCTTGATGAGAGAGCTGATGGTCGGCTCCCACTTGAGGTCCTGGGTGATGGTGGTGCCCAGGAAACGGAAGGACTCCACAGAGGTGATGGGGGAGTCCATCACGGAGGGTGGGGGCGGGGGGACAGTGCTCTTCCTGAAGTCCACAATCATCTCCACTGTCTTCTGGGCGTTCAGCTCCAGGTTGTTACCACTGCACCAGGACACCAGCCGGTCCACCTCCCTCCTGTAGGCGGACTCATCGTTGTTGGAGATGAGTCCAATGAGGGTGGTGTCGTCCGCGAACTTGATCAGCTTCACGGAGTCGTGGCTGGAGGTGCAGTGGTTGGTGTACAGGGAGAAGAGCAGGGGAGAAAGAACACAGCCCTGTGGGGCTCCTGTATTTATAATCCGAGAGTCCGAGACATTCTTCCCCAGACGCACTCGCTGCTTCCTGTCCGTCAGGAAGTCAGTGATCCACCTGCAGGTGGAATCGGGCACGTTGAGCTGGGAGAGCTTGTCCTGGAGCAGGGATGGCAGGATTGTGTTGAAGGCAGAGCTGAAGTCCACGAACAGGACCCTGGCGTAGGTCCCCGGGGAGTCCAGGTGCTGTAGGATGTGGTGGAGGGCCAGGTTAATGGCGTCGTCTACAGATCTGTTGGCTCTGTAGGCGAACTGCAGGGGGTCCAGGAGGGGGGAGGTGAGGGACTTGAGATGGGAGAGAACCAGGCGTTCAAATGACTTCATGACGACAGACGTAAGTGCTACAGGTCTGTAGTCATTGAGTCCTGTGATCCTGGGCTTCTTCGGGACGGGGACAATGATGGAGGATTTGAAGCAGGCCGGGACATGGCAGGACTGCAGAGAGGAGTTGAAAATGTCCGTGAACACAGGAGTAAGCTCACTGGCGCAGTGTCTCAGAGTGGCCGGAGACACGTGGTCCGGGCCAGGAGCTTTGCGGGGGTGCAGCCTCAGGAAGAGTTGTTTAATCTCTTTAGCGGCTATTGTTAGGCTAGGGGCAGGGCTGATGGGTGGGTCGTTAGAGTAGTGGGGGGTGGGGGAGGGAGAGGTGTCAGGGGCAGCATCAAAGCGACTGAAAAATAAGTTCAGATCGTCAGCTAGCTTGTGGTCATCAGCACAGGGGGGGGCTCAAGTGAATCAAAGTTCACTTCAAAAACAACGAATACAGGACATAATGTAATAAATGTAATAAAGGCTCATGATCATTTGTTCATTATGAATCTGATTGACATGTTTCATCAAGTTTGTGTGAATACATGAAATTCAGTTTTGTCAACAACAAATCAAACCAACACCTTTTTCACAAAGATAGATATCCCGGTTTTATTCCTTTTGTGTCTTTAATGATTTGAGAATCATAACAAGACATTTTTAGTTCTGCAGCCACATGGTACTTTACCACACACACAGACTCTCAATCTGGACAAGCAGCTCTACCCCGAGCTCCTCACCCGATCTCTAAAGGAGTGCCCAACCACTGGGCAACCAGTATGGCCCATCGGCCCCTCCGACCACCACCAACCATTCACGTATACACCAGACTCATTCTAGGCAACATGAGTCAAGCATGGCACTTTACAGCCGCAGCTGTCCTACTGTGGTGACTGGTGTTCCCAGAGGTCTCCCATCACAGGCGCTGCCCTACCTAGCTTCTAATGGCAGGCCACAATATAAATGATTACAATATATATGCATATAATGAAGTAGGATAAAACAAGAAAAAAATTGTTTTTGCAGCACATTGTGCAATAAAGTACTGGGAGAAAAATGCATTTGAGGCCTAATCGCAGGAAGTTTTCAGAATACTCCCTGGACTGTGCTGTTCCCAAAACCTGAAACTGCCCTGGAAATATATTTTGTCTCTACATTCTGATGCGACAATGAAATGACCAGGCGTTATGGCTGTGTTCTCATTTGTGAAGATTTTGTGGTTTGTGAACAGTGCTCTTTTTTTCATTTGCCTCTTCTCTTTGGACTATATTCAAGAACCTGTTTAGCATGTTTGAAGTGTATTGCTTGCCAACAGGGGGCGGTGTTGCACAGCTCAGCTGTGGTTTTCAGGTGCTGCACAGGACAGAGTGATCCCTTCTTGCTCCTCGCTGAATAGAGTTAAGTTAGTCCTCCATCACTCCGACCAGTCCACTGACAGCAGCAGCATAACAATCAGGCACGCCACACAGCCCCATGGATCCCAATCAGGGCCGGCACTAGGCATTCGAGGTCCCAAGTAAAAGCAACGGCTGTGTCCCCCCAAATGATACACAAATATAACAACAAACAGACATGAAAAGATAAAGATATTTTAGCTCAACACACCTATTCAGCAGCTTTTGCAGCTCTGTGACTTTAAGGTTTTGCCATACTGTATTGTCCCCATCCCCAAATGTTGAGGCACTGCTAGACTATCAGACTACCAGACCCCAGGACAACAACTGACTAGTGCACATGTTTTTAGAGGGAGGGGAAACCAGAGCACTCGGAAGAAACCTACACGGACACAGAAGGAATATGCAAAGACTTAGAAAGGCCCTGTTCCGACTAGGAATCAAGCCCAGGACTTTTATGCTAAGAAGTGAGAATACAAGGTGTTTATGGTGTTTTTATCACCGTGGGCGGCACGGTGGCTGAGTGGATAGCACTCTCGCCTCTCAGCAAGAAGGTCCTGGGTTCGAATCCCGGCCGGACCAGGACCTTTCTGAGTGGAGTTTGCATGTTCTCCCCGTGTCTGCGTAGGTTTCCTCCGGGTACTCCGGTTTCCCCTACCACTAAAAATATGTATAATAGGATTGGCATGCGCCTCCTGTTCGGCGACCCCGCTCCCATCTCTGTGTGGAGTGAGAGGACAAGTGCCCAAAAATAACAATTGTAAACCGCTTTGTGACTCTGGTCTGTGAAAGGCGGTATATAAATAAAGATTACTTACTACTTACTACTTTATAACTCTTACATGTACAACTATTCAATTCAATTCAATTTACTCTTGTATAGCTCTCAATCCAAACAGTATTTATCTTTACCCAACCGTTGAATTCGCCAACATAGATCAAAGAATCAAATAGTTCAAACACAAATAAATAGAACAGAAAACACAAATGACCAATGTCCATAAGTGTTGATAAATGTCCATAAATGTCGTTGAATGTTGAGTGTCTGTAGTCTTGCAATGTCCGGCTCTTCATTGGGCAACATTCGGGTCATTCAGTATGCGTGGCAATCCTAAAAACATGTTTAAAAATAAGTTACTTGATTTTTATTTATTGATTACGTTGCAGCAAATAC